GGGGCGAGCCTTGAAGCAGTCCAGTCTTGGGCGAGTCTTGGTTCAGTCTAAGGGAGTCTTGGAGACTTTTCCCCAGGGCGCTGTGTCTTATAGAGTGCTCCAAAAGATCGACTAAGACGAGAGTTGAAACGTATTTCGTTGTGTGTGTCTTATTTGACTGTAAAGTTAAAGTGACTTTCCCGATCCCGTACCTCAAGGGGACGAGATAGAGAGACGAGACGAGTTTCCCCCCTGAAAGTGTGGAGAACCCGAGAGAAAGAGATTTATCCCCTGACACGTGGTGGAGAATCCGGGCAGGTGTTTAACACACATTGACATCCTGTGAAGAGAAGTGAAATGGCGAAGATGTGTCTTTCTTGCGAACCGAACTAACTGGCTCGATGGCAGAGACGAAACCGCGCTTGACGACTAACATCGTTAACAGTATGGCACCGATGAACGACGCTGAAGAGATGAAGACCTCTGAACCCCTTATGAAGGATGAGTACCGGATAGGACTGTATAATTAAGAATTGAGCGACATTAAAGACAGGAAGAAGATAAAGAACGACCCGGACTAACGCGATGACAAGAGGAGACGCTTATAGACTTTGATTAGAACTTTAGCTATCTGTGTATTGCTTAGAGAAATGCTCGCTGGACACTGTAACTGACACTGTGTAACTCAAGGAGGTTGAACTCTTTTCCAGAATCCTAACCCTATTGCTCAGTAATGTAATGTATTGCTTGCTTTTCCTATCGTTTTTACCGTTTCTTTTAGTGATGTCGAATTGTATGTTATGTAAGCGCCCAGATTTTTGTTTTGAAGTGATATTTAGTGACGTTCGAGGTCCTTTATAACGATTTAAGCGCGCTTCAGTGGACGAGTATTTGCAACACAGTGTTTTGAGTTTTGTGATGTTTTATGGTGTTTTAATGAGTTTATGAGTACGGATTATGAGGGGGAAAGTAATGCCCCAATGAGTTTTTAAAGAGTTTTGAGATTTGTCGATGTACAGAGATATCGACGTTTCAAGAGTTGTTGTTGTTTATGTGTTGTTTCCGGAATACTTCTGACGCTTTTTGAGTTGATAGCACCTTTGTAACGTTTTTTAATGTCTT